TATATTATATATTTTGGTTCCATTACGAGAAAAGTTTTCGATTTTTCTGTGGTCTCGGACAAAATCTATAACATTGATGCGTTCCTTATTTATGATCTTCACCAATTGGACAATATTTATGAACCATAGACCGAACTTACTAACAGAGTGAAAATTTGAAGTACAGTTATAAAAAGCTTCATGAACAACATTAACGGTAAAACTGAAAGGGTTTTCCCGACCACATTGTTCAGACTTTGTCTTCCTTATTGTAGATGCCAAATATGTTGAAATATGCAAGGAAAACAACTAAGTATATCATGTGGAAATAGTATATACATAGTGTCTCGATAACATGCAAAACAAATTATAGTACAGGTTGTGGAAAAAATGCAAAAAACCTGACATAATATTTGGGTAATACGAAAAGAAAAAAATATATAGTAAGGTATTTGCACAATATGGATTCAAAACGACATGGTACATAAAGCCACATTTTCTTCAAAAAAAGAAACGGGATAGTGTGAAGAAAATATGCTTTGTAAGTTAACGACATATTATATAGTATGTGGACATTTTCAGAAAAATGTCATGTATGTGTGATCTCTGAACTCAAACTCATTGTTTACTCTGTACATGTGAGGAGTCTGTTTTCTCTGCATCGTGTTTGAAGCCAACGGGGAATTTTCATGTGTTAGTAATAAAGGTGACCTCTGCTCTTGCTCTTTCCAGCTGTCCTCAACCTGGCCCACTATAAGGCTGGCGGATACTGCCAGGTCTGCAAGCTGGCCGTCGGTTACATCGATGGTATTTTGGAGAAGAACGCGACGGAGGCACAGATTGAGGAGGCAGTGAAGAAAGTGTGCAGCTTCCTGCCCGACTCCTTCCAGACCGAGGTGAGCAGCTGCAGTTTGATCTCTTTACCTTGTGATACTTGCACACCTTCTCCTTGTATTAACCTCTGTGTGTCTGTCAACAGTGTGACCAGATGATCCAACAGTACGAACCAATGCTCATCCAGCTGCTCCTCCAGATGCTCGACCCCGACTTTGTGTGCATGGTAAACTAGACCGCTTCATAACTAAATACCATGACATGTGAACACTTTATCTTCCTTGTTGAGGGGTGTCTTTTATGGGTTGTCGCAAGGAAGGAGGAGAAGTTTTGACTCGTGTCATAAATAGTTTGACACAAGCAGTAACGGGGGATATTCAACTTGCCAAACCGAAATGCAGCATTTATCTGACTTTTGTTTGTGTAACAGAAAATGGGAGCCTGTCCTGAAGCAGTGCGCAGGCTGCTGGGAACAGAGCAGTGCAGCTGGGGTCCTGCTTTCTGGTGCAAGAACATGGAGACAGCAACTCGGTGCAATGTGAGTCTTTCAGTCATATTTAGACACCTAGACGAGGCGTTCTTGAGGATATATATATTTATAATACCTTTTTCTAAGGCTATAACTCTGACTAATGCCTTCGCTTTCTAACTGTTCAACTGTTTCTGTATACTTTTTCTGTACACATCTGCTTGAAAGGGTCCTGTCTAATCTTTAGTTTTCTCTCTTTTAGGCTGTGAATCACTGCAAACGCCATGTGTGGGTATAAAGGAAGAAGAAGAAGCACAAACTGACCAGTAGGGAATCAAATGAAAATATACTGTAGTGCTGCTTCCTGATTTTTAATTTGTCTCTCCTATTTTTTTTTTTTTTAATAAATGCAGTTTATGTATAAATTAACTTTGATATTTCGAATGACGCCATGGTGTAAAGGGACTGGATATTTTATTTTGTTTTCTGGGGGCTGGAGCGAGGAGGGGGGGG